CGAGATGGTGTAATACATGCAATCCGCCAATTTTTTCTCTGCAACACCGGCATACAAAAATTGTTTCCACGTTGGCAAAAGGTCATTGAATGTGGTGGTAATTACTTCGACGAATAAATAGTTTCTTATTGTTTCTCAATAAAAATTAATTTTTTACTAAAAACCGCATGAACTTATTTGGTTACCTGATAGAATGCATTTATTTGAAATGTTAATTTAAATTATTTTGAAAAAATCGGGTCTGACAATACATGATGCATAATATCTGCACAACTTTCATACGCTCTCGTATTATTTCGTTGTCGGACGTGAATTCCTGTCGAACTCCTCGGCGTTAAAGTATCTGATGATATTGTGCTAACAGATGGGTAATTCTACTACAAGTTACTGGATAATAAAATATCTTTCACTGATTATAAAAATGCAAAATTTCAATTTCTTACAATCTCGATGTTCAACTCCAACAAAAAAATTTCTCATAACGATCAGGAGCCTCTGAAACGTGAAAGAACGATGTTTTAGCGATTTTTACCTTTTTGCCATCGAAAACTACAAAGCTTTTTCGTCGAGCATTTGGTATAAATTTGAAATAGTTATTTATCGAACAAGTGCAGGAAGTGATACTTTTTCGCAGGCGACGGCAGTTGCACGAACGACGCGAACCATCATGCGCGAAAAATACACTTTCCGCAACTGTTAGGCATACGATTGATGATTAGGTGTTCCCTCTTAAGCTGATACATTTCTGTTTTTTTGCTCTTCTCTTTTTTTTCTCCTCTTTTCCTTTTTCTTTTCACGTTGTCTGCCTAACATATATTAGGCACTATAGACAGTGACTAACGGGCAAAGTTCCTACGGAGCGCTCAAACAAAAGACGAATAGTATGTTCCAAAGCTCTGGATATCCTTACACGTTCCATTTCAAAGTTATATCTGTTTTAAGAGGTGATATCAACAGGACACATTTTCTTCCGAAGATGATCCAATGAGCGGCTATATATCTATTCTATCTGCGTTCAGGTATATAATAATAATAATAATAATAATAATAATAATAATAACGCCTTTATTCATATTTTGTACATGTGAGGGACAAAGATAGCGAAGTTTAGCTTGAGCTACTCTTACACTTAACTACCTTTGTCTGTACTTTAAGCACGATGTTGTGTGCAATTCCAAAAAAAAGAGAAAAAAAATATATAAGAAACACTAAGGAATACAGAAAGGTTAAATAACTAATCAACTAAACTAAAGTACACTACAACTATATACACTATGTACACGTATGCCTAAACGGCTCAGAAAATCAGTTATATAAATATCAGGGTTTTCAAAAAGTGAGAGAATCACATGCTACCAGGGATCTCTTTTAAGTTTTGCATATAGAAACATAGTAGGCCGCGCGGATCGAACGTCGGTACTTAATCTTAACCTCACTCTTTAGTAAACTTAAATTCAAAGTTTCACAACAATACAGTGAATTTTTAAGTGTCACCAAGTCATTAGAAAATTGGAACTCAACCGAGAACATTTTCGCGCCACCATTTATTACAACTTTCAGAGACAATTATCGCAAAAAGAATGCCTTCCTGAGTTACTGTCTGTTTTCGGCAACGAAGAGCCACTTCAGTCGACAATTTCCCGTTGGTACGGAGAATTCAAACGTGGACGGGTGAGTCTTAGCGACGATTCCAGGGTGGGTGCACCAAAAACGGCAGTCACCCAGGAAAACGTCGATGCTCTGTGCAAACTCACACCTGTTGACTGAACAACAACAATCAGCCAGGGTTAATTGTTATGAACCAGAAAATACACGACAGTCGACTGTTTGGGTGTTCCATGGTGAAGAAAAGCCAACAAAAGTCATCCGTTCTCGAAGAGTTTCGAAAAAGATGGTCGCGGCATTTGTGTCAACAGCTGGTCATATTGGAACAATTCCTCTTAATGAGCAAATAACTGTTACTGCGGATTGGTATACCACCATTTGTTTGCCAAAAGTCATCACCGAGCTTCGAAAAATCAACCCCAAAAGAAGAATCATCCTCCACCAAGACAATGCAAGCTCGCACACAGCCCAAAAAACAAGGCAGTATTTAACGGAAGAAAACGTGCAATTTTATTATTGGACCATCCTCCATATAGTCCCGATCTAAGTCCTAACGATTTCTTTACTTTCCCGAAAATTAAAAACAGACTGCGTAGTCAAAGGTTCCAGTCACCAGAAGAAGCAGTTGACGCATTCAAAAATGCCGTTTTGAATCTGCCAGCAAACGAGTGGAATAATTGCTTCGAAAATTGGTTCGAGAGCATTCAGATGTGTATTAATCTTCGTGGAGAATACTTCGAAAAACAATAAAGTCATTTAAAACTACCTACCGCGATGTTTTATTTCCATATGCAGAACTTAAAAGACATCCCTCGTATCAGCTATTATTTTCCTAATTTCCAGAATTAACCCGCTAAGGCTCAAAGATTAAGATATTCTCGGGACGCTAGTTATATGAATATACATATCTCGTCCTCAACACCCGCTATGCTATGCAACTGAGATTGGATTGGATTCGAATAAAATATGCCACCACATGCACATCTGTAGTTGGGTGTTTATTTAGAATTTAGACTCAGTAGATATTAAAGGGTATTAATTCACCTTCGAATTTGGAATTTTCCATGGTCCTTTCTACTTTCCAAGCACATTGCCATCTGTAGGATCTTAACATTATTACTGTATACGGTAAATTTAAATTGTAGAAGCTCCTCAGATAAATGTATTGTTTAGAACGCCGCCGATAGATGCCGCAGCAATTATCCACGTTGCCAGATCAATAGTTTCAGTTGCATACTGTTGTTACCAATAATTAGCTTAACCCTTGGGAAGCTTTTCCTCATCATACTACACAATACTATACTATCATATTAATTTTGTGTGAAAACAATGTTCAGTATAAATTAAACTGTTAGGGTTATTTGTTATTTTATTTGGAAATCCAATGATTTCTACATACTAAGAGGCAATAAAGCTACAGCTTGTCATTCTGGTCATATTTACCCGCACGGGTATCACCTATCTTGAAAAATGACATTATGCCGATTTTTTTTTGACATTGTGTAGGTTTTTCTACAAGATGTTAACTTAGCACCTAGTTGTAGGTGTTGCCTAAACGTAGTGAGGCTTGTTATCAACCTTTGGTTATGATGCGATGTAAAATCTGCTTCTTAGATGGCATTACTGTAAGACTAAGCTGTAAGTTGTATGTGTTGATGATAATTACATTACGTTCTTGTCTCAAATACACTTAATTGAGATTCAAAGCTAGAAATTAGTTGCGCATCAACTTTTTATTATCCATTCTTAAATTTACATATACAAATTTGCTGAATTAAAAAAATGAGAGAGTAAAGAAATAATTATATTCACTGTACACTGTCGAATTACAAGTCATATACATGCTAACAGTAATTACACACATCGCGGGCGCGGTAATGATTTCTCGTAATTCTCCTCAGTTTTTCATAATTTATAACTTTGAACAAAACCTCTCCTCAGAAAGCACAACATATAAATAACCTGTCATATTCGGCATATTCAGTAATGATTTTCTCACTCATCAAATATCACTGATTTCATACACATGCAGACCAATAGACATAATCATCTAGATGCGATCTTGCTATCCAACCAACTTTCTTCTCAGAGATAAAAACCAATAATGTGTGTAGTTTAGTTGGATGATTCCTCCATAGATGGACGTTCACAACGATCCCAGTGAGCAGACCAGCAGACGTGGAATGACTGTTTGCGCCCTAAAAACTACCTAGTCTGCAAGTTGACATCTTATAGGTTTTTTTTACGTTTTATAGGTTTTTTACATGATACCCGTGCCGATGATATAGGATTTGGGATAGTGCACAATAAAGCATGGAAACCGCTGAGTTGCTCCCCGTAGCTTTTGCGTACACACTACATACAGTGTGGGCCAGCTACGGAGAGATTCAAATTTGACAGGCGTCGTAATGTGCGTCGATTGGTTTCATGATCTCGTACTCAGATTGCTAGGCAACGAGGTGCTTCTATTTCTTTCTGACATACATATCGCACGCTTCTCTCTCGTACACAGTACAACGTCAGTAGAGTTCGGTTTTTAAAGGCGCGTCCAGACATGTGTAATGTATCGTGTAATGTAACGTGTAATGTAACGCGAATTGTCCGTTTGGGCGGTACTGCGAGCATTACGTGTAACGCTCGCCGAATGGTTCGAGGGAATCCATCGGATGTCGGTTTTTTGCCCGAACACAAAGGCGCTCGCGCTGAGCTCGCAGTCTACATTTGGACGTGATTCGAGTTGTATGTGTTATTGCGACATCGAGCCCTAGTTCGGGATAAATTAATAACGTCTATAAATAATATTTAGTGTTAGTTGAGGTGTTATTTTTAAAATGTGGAGTGAAGAAAAGTCACTAGAGTTAACTGAACTGTACAAAAATCAGTCAGTCTTATGGAATCCGAAAGACCCTACATATTTTAAAAAACCATTAAAAAATGATGCTTGGCGAAAAATTGCAGACTCTCTGGGATAGAAGCAGAAGAGTGCAAAAATAAAATGATTAGTTTATTTGCATCCTATCGCAGAGAGAAGGCGAAAGTAAAGAAGCACCTAGGAACCGGAAAAGGTATGTTTATCCCTTAATTAAATACTTAGTACCTACGGTAAAATCTTAATCCGATTTTTTAAACTTGGCTATTATCTTTTTTTTTAAATTTACTACGTTATTAATTCGATATTATTCACATTGACAATACTATAGATAATAGACAATTGGGTAATAATATACCCTTAAAAATTAAATTAGTTGTGGAGTAGACGGTATGCTGTGTTTTGTTACCATTTTTATACCATTTATTTTTATTTTTTGCAGGCAGTCAAGAAATATATCAAAGCACATGGTTTGCCTATGAAGCACTGGCATTTTTGGGAGACAGGGACAATCCAAGAAAAAGACTTAATTCTATGGTAAGTATTTTTTATAAATGCAATAATAAATACAGTTTATAAACTATACATATGGTATATACTATTTAACAGTATCGATCTTGCCATGGAACTTTTCCATCATTGCAGAAATAATCAGAAAATTCTTCTCTGATGTGTTTTGCTATCAAAGGAGCTCTTCGTGGTACATTCCTAAGTGGAAGTAATGAACCTGTGTTTGGTTCATTTCTCCAAGATCCTTCAACAATTTGTCCCGCTTCTTCACGATCGAAAGATCCAAGGGGTGTGTAATATCTTTGTGAATTTTTGCTTAAAAAGTTATGTAGATGTGCAATGGTCATGACTATAATCTCAGCGTTTTCGGGTTGGAGAAGTATTGGTCTACGTAAAACTTTAAAAACTGAAGCTATAATTCCGAAAACATTTTCAACAATTCTCCGCGCTCTGCTTAAACGGTAATTGAAAATTCTTTGCTTTGAACCTTTAGGAAAATCTCCTGGATATGGTTTCATTATATGTTCAGCTAGTGGAAATGCAGAGTCACTTACAAGAACATAAGGCACTTCTTTATTTCTTCCACTTAAAGTTTCTGCTAGCGGTAAACCCAAGTTATCAGCTTCCAATTTTTTGAAAAAAAATGTATCCTTAAATACCCCACCATCTGATATTCTGCCTTGACATCCGGCATCCACAAATAAAAAATTATATTCCGCATCCACTACGGCAAACATAACAATGCTGAAAAATGACTTGTAGTTACGATATTCAGTTCCACTGTGAATGGAGCATCGATAATAACATGTTTTCCATCCATAGAACCAATGCAATGGGGAAAATTCCATAGTTCTTCAAACTTTTTTGAGATTTCTTTCCACCCCGCTGGAATAGTTGGAACCTGAAAATTTAAAAATTATATTTTGTTTCAGGCAGTAGACATCGACGTCGTAAGTAACAGTGTTTCTAGAAATGATAAAAATGATAGTGTGAAGGAATCAGACATGCCAAGAGAGTCCATTTCACATTCGCAACCACCAAAAAAGAAGAGAAGTTACACGGAACCTAGAGAAAACAACAAAAAAATTGAAATGCTGAAGCCCTCGACATACTAAAGACAACGACCACTCAGACTCAACCTGCATCAAATGTTTCATTAGATAACGAAAATCTTCACTTTATTAATTTCATTGGCAGCAAAATGATGAGGTATCCACCAAATGTTCGGAATGCTGTAGAGCGTGCTATAACAGATGTATTATTTAAAGCTGATGAAGGATATTATAATTTTTATCCTAAACAGTACGCACAGCAGTTACAGCAATGGCCTAGCAACAATACGACATGCACTACCTCTCAAACGCCCGCACCTCCCGTCCGTGTGGAGGTACCCGCTATTTCCCCATATGGAACGTTTTCTGAGCCATCTCCCGCCTATTCACAACTATCTCAAGAATCTTTCGACATTCAAGATTTGGTGTAAAATTAACAAACATATGTTTCTTATACTAACATTACTATCTAAATTTAAAACTAAATTTAAATTTAAATAAAAGGTAATAAATAAGTATTAAAAACTTACCCGTATATTTTCTTTTATGGCTTCAATAATTGTCAAGCAAACTTCTGGGACAATCAAGGAAATAGATTGCTTTGAAATTCTGAAAATGTATTGTAGACTTGTGTAAGAATCCCCCGTTGCTAAAAATCTCACTGTAAGTGCTAATCTATCTTGAACTGATATAGCAGCTCTCATTGGGGTATCATATTTTCCTACTTTTGGTCCGACTAAAGTAATTAAATATTCAAAATCGATAGGTGGCATACGTGTGAAGTTTTTGTATTGCCCACTTAATTCCTGAGATTTTAAATCAATCATCAATTCCGAACCGGCTCTTTTTTTATATAATTGTGTTTTCCACCAACGGCGACGACGGCGTGGTTTATTTTCATCTTCATTTTCCTCCACGAGTAAATACATAGCTATAAATGCAGCTCCCGCAACTACTACCTCCCTCGACATGTTCGCGAATACTAAATGGATAAACAATTCGCGGTAAGTATTCTGGTTGCATTCATTCTATGCTCAGGTAGCGTCCAAATGAATTCGCATTACATTACATGTTACATTACACGATACATTACATATGTCTGGACCCGCCTTAATGTGTATCGCGCCCGTGGCTACATTAATGGTCACGTAAAACAATGAATGCTAGAATTTTGGAGGCTTACCATGTTTTCTGCTATTCCAAATTTTGAAGTCGGGGCTTTTGTTAAAGCCGTGCACGAAAAGCGGCATTTCAGAAACTACAGCTTGAATCAGCGGTACTTCTGGTACCACATTTTGACGATAGCAAATACATATTCCAAACTAACTAAATGGTGATATACTGGTATTATGTCCTGTTAACATAAAGCGCGACGGGCATCCAAATGATTTTCATGTAGGTTTATGTAACAGCGATTTGTGTTTGGGTTTTTATGAGATTTCAATTAAAGGTGATAATACATTCCTTTCTTTGATAATAAATTTTTCTGGATGGACAGAAGAGTAAGTGAGGTATAATGTGATTTCATATATTCATATTTTATTAGGTTGATAAATGACGGATAAATATAAAGTTATTCCGAAGTGATTACTTTCGATCTGTAATTGTTTTGCCTGCTAATTTCAGGATATTATTTTCTGTGGCAACAACGGTGTATGTGTTGCGCCATCTATTGGAGTAGGTCCGTACGTATCTAACGGAGAACGAGAACTATATGGGGAAGCAGGCAGTTACAAATAGCGTTAACTATGTAGCGCCAGCTTTGAGCGTTGGGCTCGCCATCTATGAGCCGGATGTTGAATATAGGGCGATAAGAAAAAGGCAGCAGGAAGAACTATTGTAAGACAAAACAGTAAAGTCTGTAGATGCCCCCCCAAGCACCATTTATACGGAAAATTCTAAATTGTCACCTAAACTAGTACTGTTTTTAGAAAAACAAAGAAATGTTAGGTGTCCCGCTGTTTCATAAGCTGATAACTTCACAGAAGGTTATTAATGGAAACTGTACGTTTTACTTACAAAGTATGATGGGGATCTGAAATCTAAGAAACGCCGTCTCTTGCATGGCTTTTATGAATGGGAAAAATAAATATTTAGATCTTTTCATCAGTTTCAAAATGGGCAATCGAGTCAAAACTGTGAAGAAATGCCAAACATTTATTTTTTTTCGTTTGCGATTATATTAAGCTGTTAAAACGACCATTTGCAATCTTGGTCAGGATACATAGGTACACCATAAAAAATTCACAAATAATAATGTTTTTTTAGCTCCAATAACACAGGCCCACAAAAAAGTGGTATATGCAGGAGTATTCATTATATTTTTGCATATATTTACCGTTGCGTCATTTATGACAATTTGTCACAGCTGGTTCTATATTTATATATACTTTGAAAAGGTTAATGTCTCATAGATGACGCTGTAGTCAGGTATAAGCTTATATAGACAAGGGTAAATAACGTTTTTTGCAATGTTTTTAAAAGCCCACCATATCGAGAAGTCTAGATCAATCATAGTTGTATTTTCTTGAATCTACAACTTTATGTGTATGTCCGCAGAAAAAAAACCAAATCTAAATCTAGTTGCCGGACAGAATGAAACTTTCTCCAATATCTATTGTGGCTTTCCACTTGGGAATTCTGGAAAAAAGAACATGTACATCCCTCACGACGCTGTGTTGATGGCAGTTTGCGTTACTTTGACCATTTAGGAGTCAGAACAGAAAAATAATCATGAAAGCCATACGTGTAACACCATAATTTATATGGTGTCTATCGACCTGAATTAAGATAAAAGCAGAGTTTTTAGAGTCCCTAACTGATGAACACTTTTTTACATCGTATACATTGTTTAACTTCCTTATTCCGCCAATAACTTATTTATTATTGCAGATAAAAAAAAACGAAATTTGGGAGTTACGTTTTATAGATGAATTTACATTTTTTGACATATTCATTTTCTTTTACTTATTTGACCGGAAACGACCCCAACTCCAACGATTTTTAACTGGAACACCCTATATATTCTTACTTATTTCGATCGAGAATGGCATTCTGAACTCAACAAGACCTCACTTGTCAATATTCGACAATTGAAGTATTTTTTTTTTCAGTTTTTATTTTTCGATTTAGAGTGCTATGGATCCTGTAAATCTTTTCATTTTTGACGAAGTATCACGGGAATCATACGATTTTGAGGTGAACGACCTTACAGTCGTTTTAAAGATTTTCAAAAAGTTAGAATCACTACTTCTTTCAGCTTACTTGATTCTTTCAAATAGAAAGCGGGAGGCTCGTTGGTTTTTCTAAGAGACCATTTTCTTACAGATAATTTGACACCTCACACTATTATTTTATTTTCACTATTTTTCTGAATAATTGTAAGAAACGATCATACCTTACAACAAATAATATGTATCTGCATATACCTATGCACTAAATGCTATTATTCTAGTTATCATTGACAAGCAATTGAAGGTGTTGCTAGGGTTACTTCAACAAATATCTAATCTAGGTTATTAAGATTACTGCCAGTTTTAAAAATTTATTTGTTACGTAGTTAATTTAGGATAGAAAGCTATACTTACAAGAGAAAATTGATATGCCGGTGATTTACGGGTAAGCAAGAAAAAATGCAACTGAGGCAGCTCGAAGTTATTCTCGGAGATTCCCCAATCGTCGCCATCCCACTCGGAATTATTTTCTAAAACTGGAACAGAAAATGCGAAATGAACCAGAAGAAACTGCCAATAAGTTTATCGTCAGTTAAGAGAAAGAAATAGTCGTGTTGGCCTATGTTGAAGTAAATTGTACAGCATCAATTCGGCAAATTGTTTTAGAATGTGACATACGTTATTAATCCGTTTGGAGAATTCTTCGCAAGTATAATTATCATTTAATTCATAATTATAATTCAAGTACCAATTACACCATCTTTACGTTGACGACCACAACCGAAGATTAACTTATTGCAACTGATTTTTGACTAAATACAGAGAAGAAGTAGGTACGTTTTTCGTTTAAAATTATTTATTCAGACGAAAGTTGGTTTACCAACTTGGATATGGTCAATCGGAATAATAAAAGGATCTGGTCACAAACTTACGTACAATGCAAGAAGGAAATTTTCAAGAGCGATTTTGTTTCAATTGCTGGATGGGTGTTATCGTAAAATAAACTTTTGGGGCCAATAAATAATTTTCGATTCATTGAAGATTTGCCACTGGCTAACCAAGTTGATATCTATTTTCAACAAGATGGGGTCCACCTCATAATTCTCATGCGGTAAGAGGATATCTTCAAAGAAAAGTGGATTGGCACTAATGGACCTACCTATTCAGTGGCTTCCGAGGTACATCCTTAAGTTGTCATACTTTTTTAGTCTAATTTATTTTTCATATTTTAGGTCACCAGATCGTGCTCCGCTAGATTTTTCTTTGGGGACAATTAAAAAGCAGGTGTATTCAATTACGTCAGCTGCTCGCGAAGAACTGGAGCATAAAGCAAAGGCAACATTCCCGATAATCACTCATCACAGTTAAGCAATGTGGTGCAAGCAACAATCGATAATGTTGAACTTTGACGTGATCAAGGAGGAGACCATTTTGAATACTTGGAACCCTAATGGCATCTTTTTGCACTTTATTTTTGTTATAATAATAGGGTATGTATTTGTATAGTTTACTGCAGCATATGCCAACACCTCTATTTGTTGTTCTTCACTGACGGTGAAGTTATTCGCATTTTCTTCTGGTTCGTTGCAACACCTTCAATAATTGTTTGTCAGGTATAACTGGAATAAGAGGACTTACGGCTTAGCCACGGGACGGGCGGTGCGAACGACGATGCGGCAGGCGGGACGACCATTCGCGCGGCCACGAGCAGTCGCATTCGCCGCCGCGACTAGTATAGGCAAAGAGCAAAATGCCTTTTTCAAAATTATTTCGATATCGCTACAATGCAATTATTGGATTTAAATTCAAGTTGCACTGGTTACCGATCAGTGACACGGTAAATAGTACAAAGCTACATTATTATTACCTGCTCGTGATATGATTTTATGAAAGTTGAGGAAACGATATTAGAAGGTTGTAAATCCCAAAGCAGTCCTTATTTTATCATGGTTGCTTAATATCCTTTAACTACATTGCACTTATATATGATAAAGCAACTATCTAAAAGAATTTTATAGAAAAAAACGAACAAAGAATAACCTTATTTGTACCTGCAGCTAAAGACTACAGATGAAAAGGTTGGTTTTTTAAACAAAAAAATTCAATATCTCAAAAACGGTGACACTTTTATATAGGTAAATTTTTGTTATTTGGGAGGTCAGTCCAAAGCCTACCTTCTCCTTAAGTCTGTCGTGATACTTATTGGACACCCTCTATAAGGGATGGCATTCAATCAGCTGAGCATATTTTGGGGAATGGTAATACTCTAGCTTAGTTACACCAGCCATGTTTGGTGAAAACATGAGTTCAAACCCCAGTTTTTGGGTGTACATGAAAGAAATGAGACTGAAAATGAGCGCATACATGAAAGTTCTGAAATATTTTCCTATATAATAGGCTTTCATTGAATGTTTGTTTTCAAAGACTGTGTGATGTTGCCAGATCTCAATACTTCATAATAGGTTTTCGTGTTGATGGATATTCTTAATAATTAAATTTGCATAGTATGACTTCAAACTCCGCACAACCCTAAATAACGTCTAGTGTGCCGTGACTCAAAGAGGGAGAAATTCTAGACTAGATGGAGAGCTGCTACGAGTGGAATTGCGTGTTTTATCAAGTATTTCAGTGATAAAAGCCTTGGGACAAAAAAAAACTAAACTAGTTTGTACACTGCAGGTCAACACCGTGGCTTACGCCGTAGTGATTCATGACGTTGGTACCGCGCGAATATTCGCTGTGGCGAATGTCCTGTGACCAGGTCGTTAGTGCATAGATATACCGAATGCAGATACGGATTATTTTTTGTTAGGTATGATCGTTTCATACAATTATTCAGGAAAATAGTGAAAATAAAATAAGAGTGTGTAGTGTCAAATTATTCGTAAGAATACAATTATTCAGGAAAATAGTGAAAATAAAATAAGAGTGTGTAGTGTCAAATTATTCGTAAGAAAATGGTCTCTTAGAAAAAGCCTATTTGAGAAAATCAAGCAAGCTAAAAAAAATGGTGTATGTAACTTTTAGAAAATCTGTATTACGACTGTAAGGTCGTTCGCCTCAAAATCGTATTTTTCCTGTTACTTGATGAAAAATGAAGCGACTCTAGATCGAAAAGTAGAAATTGAAATAAAAATGACTTTTTTTTTGTCAAATATTGACAAATGAAGCGTTGTTGAGTTCAGAATGCCATTCTCGATCGAAGTAAGCAAAAATATATAGGGTGTCCCACTTAAACATCTAAAGTTGGAGTATTTCCGGTCAAACCGGAATTACGTCAAAGCAAATGAATATGTCAAAAAATGTAAATTCATCTATAATACGCAACCCCCGAATTTCAGTTTTCTCTCTTCAATAATAGAAAACTTATAGGGGTGAGCCACCTTGGAGAATCACCCGGCATATCCGTATCCAACTTTCCAGGATTGAAAATACTCCGTGGAGAATAGAACGATCTACCATATACAGATCAGCTCACAACCACTTGCATGATTATTCTCATCTTATGTGCCTTGACACCGACCTGCAAAATTACGCGAAACAAAAGGAGAAAGATTCCCATCTGCAGTTCCTCGGTCGTAGTTTTTATCGCAGATAAAAGTGTTGTTCCCTTAGAACGAATAAATGGCGAGACAGGAGGAGAGATTCGGCTCCGGCGAACGCGCGATCCTGGTCTCCGGGGTCCGGGAATGCGCCCGCCGCGTGGTTGCCATAACAACGCCGCCGCTTGCCGCTGCTGTTTGTAGCACTGTGCTGCCCTGCGTAGCTGGCTTACTATACTGTTATAGTGAAGCTGCTACCTTGAAGAAGATTACAAGAGTTTTTTGTTTCACATACTGAAATGCTTCGAGCATTGGGGCACAGGTTCAAATATCTGCTTTGCAATTGTATCGATCGTAAGTCACATAAGTTCTCAGGAGACAATAAAATCTGTGTTACTGACAAATAAACCAGGTTCAAGATATTTTTTGGGCTCAGTGTAGTATTCTGGTTCTAAAATATTGAAATTTTGAATAATCTTCACAGTATTAATAATACTCGTAATAAAATAGTTCGAAAAACTGTTATGTTGTTTTAGAACTAAATAGGGTATATAACTTAACAATACATAGGGGAACCCAAGGCAAGCTAAACACCAGATGCAATCGAATTTTTCGTTTTACATGCAACCCGTAAATCGCCCATACTGAAAAACTCTCATTCGTTCCACTTTTTTCAATCGCCCGCAATTGATTGTAGAATGACCCACATGCTTATTTCATCAACAAAAAGCTGAATGTGTTGTGCGTGTAATTCCACCTTTATACTACCGTGGTTTTCAGTTCATATCGGATAATTAGGTTAGCTATCATCAGGTAGAATATGATAATCAAATCTACTACACAGAAATATGAAAGAACGACTGAAAAATATACAAGTAAAATTACTAATTGTGACAGTATCAAGTGCTTTGTATTGATAAAAATTAATTTAATGTTTTTTTGTAACTCACTTGTTCAAATAACTTGGGTTATTGTGAAAAAATGTTGGTTTATTGATCCGTATGACATACATATGATGAAAAAAAAAACAGAATTTTAGAAATCTTTTTCAATAATTATTTTGCACTGTTGACAAGTTTTTCCATAAATTCGCCCGGAAAGTCACGGGCTCTGGAAACTAGAACGATGCACTAAACTAAAATTATTGTTTATACAGAGTGTAGAAAGACTATATACGTATATGAGGATATATGATACGAATAACAGCACAAATAAGTTGCTCTTCATTACTGAACAAGCGATGGTTTATCGTGTTTTTCCTAAGGTTTCACATAATTTCGTATACTTCAAAAACAGTTCGACTTTGCATTAAAGTATATGTGGTTTAATGTACTTCAAATGGGAAAACTGTACTGCCAGCCCTTACAAGCTTTGTACCGACCTTCCGAACATAGTTATTCTATATGCTAGTTTGTCACTTACAAATCAAAATAAGAGAAAATATAAGATGTAATGCTGCTTTCAGTAAATCTTTTTTCTCCTTTGTTTATGTATTCTCTCTGGTTGATAAATAAATGTAGGAAAATTCCATCAAAACTCCAGTGATTTTAAATCCGCTCAAATTCCATCCTCCCCTTCTGTTTGGATTCCAGATCCATCATTGTTTTCATAAAATTTATTCGCGAAATCGATAGCGAACTTTCGATACCCCAACTTTTTCCTCCGAACAAGAAGTTTGCTTATAGCAAATTCTATTAAGTCCATAAATAATTTAAAGATGACTTAGTTACTCTCACGGAGATAGTTGGCCGGTTTGCTTAAAGGATTTCCAGATCAAACTTTGGCACAAGTTGTTATTGTAAGGCTTTGCCGGGATATGGGGGTAGCTCCTCGGGTAGCTCCGTGCCGCGGAAACTTCATTGGCAAGTTGACGGTTAGAGAGAGAGAGAGAGAGAGATTCTGTCGGCTCACTTCCGAGTACTTTCAATGCCTTCAACCTTTTACAAGAGCAGGTGTAAGCTCAAAGGAAATGAATAATTGATTTGAATTGGACGCTTTCTCGAGACAAGTTTGTCTAGCCAGTTCATTTATTGTGATAGGATATTCTGCTGATATAGAGATGGCCGCGACAAGCAATGAGAAAGGTGCATTGGAAAAGTTTTTGCAGGTGCATGCTGATCACACAAGGGATTAATGTATATTTCAGATCAGGGTTAACAATGCCGAGTCGGCTTCGGTATTTTAGACATGTCGCTTAATCAACATGTTGGTCACTTGGGGCACCAAAGCGAACCGTGATTTTTATGGAAAGGACAATGGAACTAAAGATGAAGGTGAAGGATGGTCGAGGTAGGAAACAAATTCCTAAGAAACGTGCATGTAAAATTATAAAAATTAGCTGCGCTTATACATGTCCACTCACTTGGTGTGGATATAGTAAAACCGAGGAAGTCGTTAACAGGGAGATTTTATATCCTAATGGGCGAAGATACAGATCAGTCCTAGGAGATCCGAAAAAATTCACTGCGATCTGAGCTAAGAAACCGGTCACTTAGCTAAGAAGCGCTACTTAGACCAATGCCTTTGTAAGTACACGCCCCTTTTTTCTATAAGGTTGAATAAACTAGCCTTTCGGAAGAAATCCGAGAATTTTTATCTATAAAGCTGAAATCTCCAGTTTCTTAGACTAATGGCGTTCTATGGACCCTCACATTTTCTATGTGGCTGATGTGCGCTCAGCTTATTACAAAAAGCAACATATTCTTCTAACATACTCGAACCATCAGTTACTTAGCTAAAAAGCCAGAAGGAATCAGTCCATAAGAGAACACTGGATAATATTAAACATTTTATACTCGTGCTCCTGTTCATATCTGAAAATAAATCTAAATTAATTTTTGACATATTCAACAAAACACGCCAACTATTAAATATCACATACCTTAGGCATTACTGAACAGGCTTTGA